GTAACAGCTGTGTTTGCAGCTCGCGTATTAACTTTATATATGTCGCGTATAACTTTAACCAAATTGCGAGTCGTGACACATCGCCTATGTAACTATTTGGGGATGGACGCCCCACATTCTAGAAATATCGATGAGCTCGTTTATGTGTTGTCAAGCTGCGATATTGCAATTTGTTATAATCTGAAGTAACTTAAGCTGTGCTGCTGGTGAGGGAGCAGTGAGTGCTGCTAGGCTTCTCTGTAACATGTTAATTTAACGGAAATAACTTGCTCGTTATTAACATCTGCTTGCAGTTTTATGGGTAAGACTGCTCAATCAAGTTGAGAGACTGATAGATCATATCCTCTAACCCACGGCGGAACATTTTATATAACTTACTTCAATACAACTGAAGAGTCACCACCTTACTAAACCAGCTGTTAATCAAGATCTAATACTATGTGAGCTAGTTAAGATCCAAGACCAGAGATTTGCAAAACAGCATAACATAGCTCGTGCTTCAGCTAGCGCTGTTTACATCCGTCGATTCTGTTCAATTACTTATTCAGCCAATAATACAAACAGTACAAAACGGTTATATATTACTTCGCATTTAATTGAATTTTATTGAACGATAGACTACCAGAATAGTTTTTTTTTTACAAACGTCTCAAGGCTCATTTTTTTTAAAAGTAACATTCTATAAAAGTCATCCGATTGAGTTATATAGCTTGATTATCTTGGGCTATATAAGCTAAAATGAAGTTCGATTACAACTATCAGTATTATTTCAAGCTTATATGACACGAGCTGTTCTCGGTTGTTTATCATACAGATGCATCGGAAGAACTAAGTTGTCTTCGAGCATTTATGTCATACTTGCATTATGGTATCGCATTCTTATGTTTATGTGGCATATTTCTAAGGTAGTGAGTGCTCGAAAGAAATTGTGGCGTCACCGTTGTCTGTTGAAAAAAAACGTTATCGCCTATATGACTCAAGCGCTTCGACTCTATTGACCAGCGCTAACCTATAAGCATAGAACGATTACCTAGGCCTTTCAATCCGCTAGGGGTTCGAATACAATGCTTCTTAAGCTTGTAGGAGTGTACCTATTAATTCGACTTTGCTTGGCCGGTTTATTTCGCGGCGTGACGAAACATCAGTGTGTCTTCATAATACACGGACGGAACTGCATTGGCAACAATTGTATCAAAATCCTTAAATGTATGATGTTTTTAAATGCATCATGTTACGTATAACAAGTGAATGCTGATCAGCGCTAGACGCTACGTATCTAACGATTATTCAAAACAATCCGCTCTGGTACTCCCTATCGTCATTGGTGCATTGATGCAGGAGCGAACAACCTTGTTTCGTCAAAGGGGCCATAGTGGTTAGCTGCTACTTGGCTCAAAATCTCAACATGGTACCATATGTAGAAAGACTGTCGTTTATTAACATGGCGACTAGTGCGCGCTTTCACGATGATCTATCCGCTTCGTAGCTGGAACACAACAATATTCGACGGTGAAGATCGGGTATGGTTCTCTTCGGCGGAAGAGGCGATGTATAATTGCCTGTCGAAAATTTCCACTCGAATAAATGATAGGCCATATGAGATTTGTTTTGCCACTTTGCTGGCGAGTTCATAATGACGAAACCTATAAACAAGCTCGACGGACGCTCGGCTACTATAAGTATGTTTATATGTTTTGCAAGCAAATTTTAGAATAGGACGATAGAAAGGCAGCTTGTGGTGTTGGCATCAACGTCGCGACGACAGTTCATAGCCATGGAAGGGAAAGACCGCAGGTGCGGTTATTGCAAACAAGCTTGCTTCAACGCATGTTTATTCGCGTTTTGGTATATGGTCAGGAACTACATTAGCAGCTTGCCCAATCCGTAGGGATCATGCAAAGTTCTTCCATGCCCGAATCCTGCTCAGTTGTTCGCGCGCAACTGAGCACGGAGATGTTGCTCTTATTATTAGCATAGTGGCTGGGGTGGGGGTAACGACGTCCGGGTGATACCGACTCGAAAGGACGTCGTTGATACGTACAGTGAGCTTAGATAAGGAAACCGTCTAAGTTTTCTTCGAGACTGCATGGAGTCATGCACTTCTACTCCTTCAAAAATTTTTAACCTATACGAAATGTTTCTTTTTTATAAATATAGTTTTCATCTAAAGGGCTGGGTCCAAAGAAACGAAACTCGTCGCTCAAGTGTCATCGCAGGAGCGCAGAACCTTCATTGTACTGCGCGCCTTCATGTCGTCAAATGGAAATACACCTCCGCTATCCTGATGGCTACACCTGTCCGGATGGACCTAAAGCCCGTCCGGATGGATCACTGAGAAGAAAGTATTTAGAGTGTATTTTAAGTACTTTAAGCATCGTTTGCCGTTGGCTAGAAAGGGGACGCCAGCTAATCATGGATACTCCCGAGATTCGTTCAGGACCCAAGTTGGTTTTATGGTACATCATTACGTTTTCTCAGGACAGCTCGAACACTTTGTAGATTTGGCAGTGTTTAGGCCAATCAAAACCTGTCATCATAGGGCTCAGCCGAACTTCGTCGTTATTTTCAGTAGAAGGATCACGATCTACGGCCCAGCCGAATAGGCAAAGAGGGCATACGAAAGATCATAAACGAAGGGGCAGTTTCAGTTTATACAAATGGCTTTAGGGGATACGTATTTTTCTGCCAAACGCAAACATAATCACATGAAGTGACGTATCAGCTATGATCGTCGTTCCAGCAAAGCAGCCGTTTGTCTGAAATGGAAGCGGGCACCTTTGTCACTCATTGTTATCCTATCAATAGGAGCAAGGGCAAAGCTCGTTATTCTCATCATCGATTATTTTCGAAAACAACATTACTAGCTTCGTTTTGGAGGATATGTTCAGCTAGGATTGCAAGAGTGATTTCTGACCGCGTCAGTTCCTCAAACTGGCTCCTCCGCTCAAAATCACCATACCATCAAGTGGGCCGATATGAGTCAATAATATGGGTTCTATCCTTGATTATGTTTCGAGAACTCACGATTTATTGCGTCTTCATTTTAGGCCGCAAGGTACTAAGTCCATAGCGGACTCGACGGTATACGGGTTTCTCTACTTCAATCGACTATTATATTTACATTCATTTTACATTTGTCATACTTTTTCCAGCCCAGGAAAATTACAGTAAGTGTTCCGACTGATGTCGACTCTAAAAAAATATACGTGAATATGTATTAAAGGAAATAAAATTTAAGCATTATCATGTGAATATTTACATAGAAGATGTTGGATTACCTAGTACGGTAATGTTATCGATATCACTATCTTCTCAGCATTATTTCACTGTTACTTGGTAGTAGGTTATATTTTGGTATTAGGGGCAGTTAAGTCATTCTCCTGTTGAGGGTGTACTCAGTACATAATGGGCCTAGTGGTCTACTGTGTTATAGACTTAGGCGAAAGTTAATTATTTGAATTTTTTTTTAATCTATTCATATAATAGTGAACATTTGCATGGACATGATAGTCGGCTTAATTGCTTAGAATTCTAAATTTCGCTTTCTTTTATCGCTGGTCATTTCGTTTGCCGTTAGTGTACGAAGGATCGGTACTCATTCAGGCCAAGCCGTTCAATGCTGACGCATACGAGAGTAGGTTACGAGTAAGAGCAACTGTTGTCGATTGATGTTCCCACCTTTGTCGGATAAATACCGTTTGGCCGACCCTGGTCACGACTTGTTCAGTCGCGCAAACTTCTTGACAGAGGGTGTCTGATCCATACTCGCCTACCAAGTGTACAGCTATTGGCTGTTCCGTATAGTCGATTCGGGGTTTGCCGACGCAGGGTGGACTTAAAACAAGGGCGTCATGCATAGGACGCTGATAAACAACATCTTCTGTAAACAAAATTAGTGATTGGCCCGAATCGGTAACCTACATAAAGGAATCCACAACGCCGATACAACTGCCAAGACACCATGTGTAGTGTAAAGTACGGTGTGCAACTAGGATCTACAATCATATAGAAATCATCTAGGCGTATTCGACTGAAGCCGTAATTATCAAAGATCTATGGCTGAACTCTGTCATGAAGAAGAATCGACTTTGACGAGAAGCTGACTGAATGATACTTGCGGATTTATCGAAACCTGTATGTTGTACACAGGTTCTCATATAGAGAACACCTTCTTTTTCATAAAGGGAGTGTCTTTGTAGGACATACTACTAAGTTAAAGGCAAGACGTTAAAACATGTAGCTTTGTAAGTGTAAGACCTGTAGTTTTTCGTTCGCATAGGCCGATCTATACACACGGATCGATTCTCTCCCAAGTACAATTTGTGACATAATTTTTCGTTGTGGCGTTACCTTTTTTTTTTTCGGTCACCGAATATATCCAGAGAACCTCATCGAGTGCTGTCATGTTGTAACTATAATATATATGATTGAATCGACATTTTCCTTATGAGCGAGATCATTCCTGCTAAATGTTTTTTTTTAGCATGCTTAAAAGATGTATTATTATCTAATATATATAGATATCCGAATTGGATTTGGAGCGGCAGTTGGGGAAATGCGACACGCCGAGTTCGTCTGTAATAGATAGACGAGCTCGGTTACTAAACGACAAACTCGAATCTAGACAAAGTCTCAGAAGCACGCCTTAATCGTTTACAATAAGCGTTATAGCATGGTTGGCATCCCGATTCCGTCTAGATTTGTCGCCGGTACAATAAAGTGAAATAGAGTGGAAATTACGTAACGTCGTGTAGAAATACGCGTGCGGTTTCTAGACAAGTGATCTTCTTTGAGTAAAATACATCCATGGAATTACAACGCCCACGTAAGCACTGTCGAAATGTTGTTGATTCTATTTTAGATGACTTTACAACCGTATACACTTTTGAATTTTCATAAATCTTCAGATATAAGAAATCTCCTAAACAAGTTTACTAGATTGACCAGCGATATTAGTAACGGGCGTTCGAGTTTAAAATCTTTGTTTTTGGTTGCTTCAGGATGACAACGACTCTTCGCCAAGCGATAAAGGTCTACAAAGACCAATACACAGGAACGTCTTTCGTGACGGGGCCACTAAAATTGGTATGGTAGCCTAAGAGAAACTAGTATACGTGTATGTTATTATCTATAGAAGCCCAGTGCTCAAGCCAGTGGCGTGTGCACGTACCCCCTGTGTGTTTTCTATATGTACGTGTGTTCCGTGCGTGTCCGAGCTGAGATTTAGCCGATAAAAATTGTGGCAAATATTACTAAAGCCTGTCATATTTCGCTTTTAATCTCTGTTATATATTACATTTCGCTCAGCCGGCAGATATAGCCCTACCGATCTTACCATTATTACGTATTGGGAGACGTTGGGAGGTGTAGTTTTATATAGTAATCGCCACTACTTCGTGCCGGAGTCAAACATATTAGCTGTGGAAGCGAATTACTCTAGTTGTCTTCGTAGGGTAGCTACACGACAGAGAACTCGACGGCACAACTCATTCACTGATATGCGCCATACGTTCCTCATTACGGTTTTTGCCCTGACGGCTTTCGTTCGAGATGGCAAAAAATCGTTTCTTTTTTTTTTAATGGCGCGCGAGAGTGCGTCTTGTTTTAATATCTAAACCCAGTAGGACTTTTGAGTGTTCACGAATTTTTCGATGCTTAATAGAACTTTGATCTAGTGTGACGAGGATCGTGCCACATAGAACGGCAATCAGATGCCATAATATGTAATATGTCTGTATTTGCCTGGAGACTATGTGTTGGTGTATGAGGAAGTCGTTGATCAGAATGCCTCGTCAAACACCGCCAGTAACAAAGCCACAACAAAAATGGCATCGAATAGTGCCGAGGAGACGGGTAAACAGTCACGAAAAGCTCGTAAAGCAGAAAGCTGGCGGGATTCGTTTCTTCAGAATCTGGAATTAGCTGGCTTATACATCGAGGAGGTGAGTTACAAATTGTAACAAAATATAATTAAATCTGTTTAAGATAGCTAAGCACAGACTGGTTATGGTTATGACAGGTCGTTTGTTCATGTTGTTATTATGTTGAAATTTTAATTACAAGGTCCTAACTGGCGAATGGAGACTGCCTCGATGGGACCACACCAGCCGAACTCACTCTGTGTTGATACGACATCACTTTCCTTTATTTTCATTTCATTTCCTGTCTCTGCATTCAGGAGGTTGTGGAGGTTTTGGGGGAACGCAAAAAGCTGCACTTTATTAAACTGTCAGCACCGTGGGAAGTCCTCGTAGACTATGCTGAAGCATTGTGCTTTCGGGCACCTTTGCAAATAGACACTCAGTCGATGACGGTATGTACACCGTATGATGATAAAATTTCTTAGTAGAATGACGTAATTTCTTAATTTATTCAAAAGGAAGTTAATTTAAAGGCGACAATATATTAGGAGAAATATGCAATGCAATGCACTGCACTAAAAAAAGTATTAATTAGTTGAAAATCCTAACGATGTAACGCTTTGTTTGTAAACGGTATAAATACCGTTCTCTCGATACTACTCGAGGCAAGTACTTATTTTAATAAGTACTCGCCCCGGCTAGTTGCCTGTTTACAGAACGGGTGTTTTTGTTCGACGCGATAGAACAGCTACGTACTTAAGCTTTTGTGCAGGTCAAGTGAAAATGACGTATAGTAATGTTTATTGTTTTTATCGTTACTATATCTATAGTACATAGTTCAAAACTCACAACGATCCTCTAGCTAAGGTCAACTGTAAAACTGCCTTGTAATTTCGTTCGCTTATCTGTCCAGAAACCGAAATGGCCAGAGCGTCCTCTGGGTAACTACCTGCAAGCGCTAAACATTTTCGACCAGGAGGTGCCAAACGAACCTATCGACTATTATACTTGTCCATTTAAAAAGGCCAAACTTGTTAGGTAAGTGTTGCTTACGTTACTTTTACGGGTTTTCAGTAAAGCACAAAATCTCTGCCGCTGTAGTAGTTCGATATGCTTAAGTTTGTTATCGAATGCTAAATACTACGAAGTTATGTAAAACGTGTGCGATTAGAGTAGCGAGAGAAATGGAAAGAGACGCCAAGCGATTCCTTAATACTCGTTGCTTGATCCATTTCTGTAGAGGGAATAGCAGGTACTGTTGTATATGAACAAACCCACTTAGTTCCCGCTTGAGTCATTATGCAGTGTTGGCCTGTTAATAAATGTCTCTTCGAGGTCAGCGGTCTACACAACACATTAACTATTTATCTGGATCGGCAACGACTTCCTACATTTCGCTTAATTCTTTTTGTGAGGTTCAGATTTTTAGGCAGTAGTAATCATGACGAATACTTCACAACGACGCAGCGTATTAGAATTGTCCATGAGATCCTACAGAAGACTGAATTTGGTCGTCGACGGAAAGCTCATATCGGTCTTGATCGCCTTCTCGAAGAATCTATCTTCACAGCTGCTTACCCGTTGCACGAGGTAATTTGGGTCCGTCTTGCTTGTATGTCCTATCTTGATGTGCTGCCCACGTACCTTACTTGCGGAGAAACGGCTAGTGCGATGAGAACGGGCATGCTTAGAAAAATGCATTAGAGGCTCGCTGAAATCTTTGCTCATCGATCCGGAACATCACGTTGCCTGGGAATGAACAAGCAAACTCGTATTGAACGAGAACGAATAGTTAGTAGACCTAATATACCATCTGGAACTTTGGATTTCGAAGGTAGTATCAACGTCAGGCGACTAACATGTCTATAATACAGGCTGCTCTGTTAAAAAAAAAAATGAACATTAGTTTATCATAAAACGACAGACATGTACAAACAAAGCTTGAAATAATAAGTCTTCATACTTGTTTTGCATAACGAGTTTCGAAAAGTGCCGCGAGGTTTGGCGAAGGTTCGATTAAAAGTAAATGTCGTTTTAGCCTTTTGCGCTGAATACGCTCATGCAATCATTGTGAAGCAAGTTGCAATATTCCACATTGGTCTTAGAACTAAGAGGTTAAAAATTGGTGGAATCGAAACCTGTATTGGGAACTAACGAAAAATATCATTGGACCTAACCAGCAGAGTCAATGAGATCAGCAAAACAACAACGATTTGATAAAAATACGCGCATCGATAGAAACAAATGAAGGCACTTTCCGAAAGGTGCGCATCTGAAGACGGCTATTTTTAATGAGAGGAGAGGTTATTACTTTAGAGCCTGCGCAGTAGTCTGGCGCCAGCAATTATGCAATGCATGTTACGTTTAGAATCTCATAGTCTTACTTGTTACTGAACTGTCACAAAGTATGTCACGTGCTTCGATAACAGTATTTTCGAATGATGCGGTAGGGCTGTCACAAACCACCCGAAGACTTACTTCCGCGAGAGTATTCACGTCGGCAGGTGCTATTCGAGTTCTGGGTCCGATGGGGTCGGTGGTACAAATTCCAGCCACTCAATCATATCCGCGAATACTTTGGTGAAAAGATCGCCATTTACTTTGCTTGGTTAGGTCTTTACACCGCTTGGCTATTGCCTGCCGCCGGAGTCGGTATCCTCGTGTTCATATACGGTATCGTCAATGTTGCCACAGACAAGCCGACGTAAGTATACCTATCTTGTGATGACAGTCATGCTTTAGGTAGAACTATATACGCACTGTTTCGAGTACAAAATGCCGCCGCATATAAGGCCTAAGATTTAACCTTCAGATTTAGCCCTAAAAAAGTAAACGAATGACATGGAACTATAGCAGTCGATGAAAAATGGAAGTAGCAGTCATCAATCCTCGAAAGATTTAGAGAGATGTAGTTCTGGTAGATTACGTGCAGTTTTCGTTCGGGCCGGTATGGTCTACGAATAAATTTCACGCCGTCTCTTGGTGTAACCTCTCCAATATTGATTTCTGATGTTATGGCCCTAATTTGGTTTCCTCGCTTGCGACTCGCTGTTGTAGTGCGGAGCTTTGCGCGAGTGATTATATATACCGAATGTGCCCTCGCTGCGAGGAACGTTACGGCTGCGACTTCTGGTATCTTTCGGAAATTTGTATTTTCACTAAGCTTACGTACCTCTTCGACCATCCGGGAACTGTCTTCTATTCGTGTTTTCTTTCGTTTTGGGGTAAGTGAAGCGTGTGCGCGGTCATAAGTCAACGGTATGTCACGTTGTTTAGTCGTCGTACGCAGTGATTGAAGTCAATAAACGCGATAATTTTAACCTGTTACCAGCCTCCAACGATGTGGTAGGATCGATCAGTTTACCCCTACTTTTATCGTGATTACATCTAGTATCTCTTATCTTATACGGTTCTAAAGCTGTAACTTTCCTTGAGTACTGGAAGCGTCAATGTTCGCGCCTAGCGCACCAGTGGGATTGCATGGACTATGAGGAAGAAGAGGAACCGCCTCGACCCGAATTTGCCGCTAAAGCGTACTCCGAAGCGCGCAATCCGGTCACGGGTCAACGGGAGCCCTCGTTCCCGCACTGGATTCGCATGCAACGCATCGTTGCCGGCATCGCCATCCTTATTTTAATGGTTGGTTCCGCAATTGTTTTTCTTCGTCCAGCTACCCGACCCACTTTATATTCTGTTTTTCTTTAAACATGAGTAAATAAGTTTAACTAGTGATTATAGATACTACTGACCGCTAATTCGCATAGTATAAGTATTGTATGATAAGACGATTGGCTGAAATCACTCACATTGTTCGATAATCCTTACTCGATAGTCAAATTATAAGCTTCAGTATGTAGACTGACAAAACGGCAAGCATCTTGTAATACGTTGTTGCTTACGTTCTCTTACAGCCTGAGCGGTTGCTCTTAATGAATAGACTGATAATGGTGAAAATTTTTCATGTTATTTTTATTGTTTCCTTTTAATTACTGTTACGCGTGGCGATGTGCCGTTACTAGAGTGACTATTCGATCATCCAATCGCTTGGCCTTGTCGCAATTGTGCTGTTTTTGTCGACATTGCCTAATTTTTGTTATCTGTAACGTTAACGCTGTTGCAACTGTGCTTAGCGTCTGCGCTGTTTGCCGATCTGACCGTTCTGTCTATCTGTCTGTGTGTATGTGCGAATGTACCACGGGGACGCTGTAGATATCTCTAGTTTTGGTCTTCATGGTCTCGGTCATCATCTACCGGGTTCTCATCTCGATTCCGCTGTTTCGGTCGACACAACTGAAGGGCTTTGCTTCAGTGATTGCGTCTTCCTCAGGAGCGTTCGTTAACCTGATCTTCATTATGATCCTTGAAAGGATCTATCGAAAGCTTGCCTACAAACTCACCCAATGGGGTTAGTACCGACGGTAATACGTTTACATGTTACGTTAAGTCTTCCTTGGATCGGATCAAGCACAACCGATCACTAACGCTTGTTTGTCAGTTGGGCTACACGCAGTGGCCGTGATTTATCTGTATATAGTCACGCTTGAAAGTTTATTGAAATAGGACAATGTATTGGTGACCACAAAAGAAAAGGAGAGAACATTGACGACGACGTACATATGCGTACCTATGACTAAACATATTGCCGACTTACAGAGAACGGGCTGCACGATCTGTGACTGCGTGATTAATACCACCACAGTAGAAGCACTAATGTGATGTTATTGCTGTTGTGACGAGCAGTTGTCATAGAAATTACATTTTTTTTTTGCTATCGATAGTACTAATCCTTCTACCGCCTTTGATATCTTTTCGGTATTCATCTACAGTTATAACACGTGGCCTTTGCGATAATAAAACTGGGTTCCGCGGGTAGTATCGTCGCATAGTTACTAGTGTTAAAAAGCTCGATATTTGTCATAGTTAACATAAAAATCATTTTGTTTCGTATTTTAGAGATGCATCGCACACAGACGGAATTTGACAATAACCTTACCTTTAAGGTAAATATAATATATACGAGTAGAGGAGTGGAAAATGTCTACCTAGTGTAAACTTTTATATATATGTATTAATTTATTCGTTCTCGATCATACCGGGACAGGGAGACAGTGGGCAAAAAAGCAGACTTCCAAGAATTAAATGGTCATATTTTGATTTGATTGGTTTAATTATTGTTCGCAGGTGTTCATGTTTCAGTTTGTAAATTACTATTCATCGATATTCTACATCGCCTTTTTCAAAGGTCGTTTTGTGGGCTACCCAGGCCATTATACTAAAATGTTAGGCCTACGCAACGAAGAGTGTTCGGGCAGTGATTGCTTGTCTGAGCTTGCTCAACAACTAGCTGTCATTATGATCGGTAAACAGACAATCAACAATGCACAGGAAATACTCCTCCCGTAAGTTCCCGTTTCACAGATGCTGCTTATCTACTAGAAATCGTTTTTTTTTTTTTGATACAAATACATTTTACTATTTATAGTGAATGTTATGTATGATACTGTCGATGACTAGGCTGAATAACACCTTTGATGTATAACTGCACCTGTTTATTCTGTCTAATAGAAGACTGTGAGGAAGGACGTGTCGTATTTAGGTTACCGCGTAAGAACCGTGCGAACTTTCACTAGTGATTTGCTACCGCTTTGCATCTATTATACATATCAACTGATGGAGAACTTATTTATACTTACATTTTGTTGCCTAGACGCCATTTGCATCATAAAGCTCCGATCTAAGTAAGCGGTTAGCAGACGTGGAAGAGTCTTCAATTCCATGCCGCAGGCCACGTGTAAATTTACATGTCAACAAAATTAATATTGAATAATTACAGTCGTGTATAGAGAAAGATGAGTTTTATTTGTGCTCCCCATCACCCCATCATAGAGTACGTCGGTATAGTTTTTTCCTCTTGTATCAATGTGACTTTGCGTAATTCCGTCCAAGATGCTGCGTTTTTGTATATTTGTTTTTTCTGAACTGTTGTCATTATAGCAAATTGCAAAACTGGTGGAGTCGCAAAAAGACGCAGTTCCACGAGGACGGCAAATTGACGCAATGGGAAGAGGATTACACGCTGTCGCCAAATGAAGGACTCTTTCAAGAGTACCTCGAAATGGGTAGGCATCAGTTGCTGTGGACTGATTCTACTATCTTCATTAACTTTTTTGATCTTCGAGAAATGTACGATCAGTTTGCCGTAGTCCATAATTACAAGCAAGCAGTTTCTATAATTTTTTAGCATCTTGAAACATAAAGCGTGTTTTTACGCAAAATAATGTGTGCATGCGCTTCGTACTAAGAAAAAAACCCCACTGAAAACCTACCCGGGAAATTTGGGACTCATCCTTTATAAACATTCTTTATCATTCGGGTTTACTGGGACCCTGTTATTTCCACTGACTATTCTCAGTGGCTTTTGCGCGTTCTCAGTAACATGTAATTGACAACGTAATAAATATGGCTATCGTCGGTTGCCTGTTTTCGATTTTCAGTGTTACAATTTGGCTTTATCACGATATTCGTGGCCGCATTTCCACTGGCTCCACTCTTCGCGCTGCTCAATAACTGGATAGAAATAAGGTAAGAGCGACTCACTCACGAACTGTTTTTCTCAGTGGATGCATCCTGCCTTTGTTACGAAGCTTTCCCAAAAAGGGAGCAAAGTTTCTTTCGGTTCTCGAAGAACGTGACACTCCTTTGGAGATTCCTTGTGAAAGAAATGCGGTATACAATCACAGTATAATCTCAGGTATACATTTAGATGAATAGAACCCTACAAATAAAATATTGGTTAAATAATAACTGCAAGGAAACGGTTGCAGAATGGTCTGATATTTTTCTCTACTAATAAGTTTAGTGAGACCAATACGTCAGATCTCTTTTTCTGTCAAATTCGGCCGATGTTTGGCGTGGAAAAGTGTTCTATTACGTATTATGTACTAATGTTTGTTATTTAAGTGCAGGGCAACGTATTTGGCAATCGAAATAATAGTATCGTTCTCCCACCCCAGATTGCGTCAGTAACTTTTATCAATGAAATTATATAATAAAATAAATTGATTCTCATTTAATATTTTCACTTAACACAAAATCAGTGCTAGGCATCTTTGAAATAATCAGTAATAATAATGCTTCTCTTTTACAGGCTAGATGCACATAAGTTCGTCTGTGAAACACGGCGTAGCGTACCCGAACGTGCCCAGAACATTGGGATTTGGTTTTCGATACTCGAGTTACTCTCCCGTGTGGCTGTCATCAGCAATGTAAGCTGGAGTACGATGAAATAAATGTCAACCATGAGTTCTTCTTCGTTTTTATGATGTAGTTTTAAATTTTCTTATTATAGTATGCCGTGGGTCGTTAGTCAATCAGCTGAGTGAGAGATTACGTAACGAACTCTAACATCGACTGTTAGACGATAAAGAGCCGGACGCCGACCCGAGGAAAAACTTCAAAGTTTTTCTAATTTTTACGGATGGTAATTGATGCATTGCAGGCGTTTCTAATCGCGTTTACATCGGACTTTCTTCCACGGATGTTGTATATGTATAGCTACGATCATGGCTCTCTAGAAGGTTATCTTAATTTTACACTGAGCGTAGCGCCAGATGGAGCACATTCACAGAGTTGCCGATACAGGTAAGGAATGGCTCACCTCTTCTGAACGCCGTTCAAACATAAACTACTATCACTTCCGTTTTTAATTGATCCTTTGGATAATTTTTTTCGCTTCGAATAACGTAGAGATGCCGTTCGCACGTATCTGGTTTATGTTACTGACCTAATTTTATAATCAGGCTTTAAGCTCAAATAGCTCAATTATTCTTCATGTTGTCTGCGTCATACGTACGTACGTACGCGTATTGCACTTCACAGAGACTTCCGCGACTCACAAGGGGTCCACACTACCTTCTTTTGGAAGCTGTTGGCTGCACGATTTGCCTTTGTACTAATCTTCGAGGTAATAGATTAAAAAAAAAATAATAAGTGTAAGGGTGATTTTTACTGTATTAACGATTATACCTTTCCTTAATATATATTTAATTTTATAATTTTTAATCAAGCTAATTGAAACCGCTCTAAAAATTTGTTTTCGTTTCCTTCAAGAAGATAGACGCTAATTACTCTGGTACAGAACCTTATTCCAGATGAACCATGTTTAATTATTTTTACTGACTAATTTCATCAGCAAGGGTGCGGTGATTTAAGCAAATTGTTTTATAGTTTTTCGGCTCATTCGTGCTATGAGATAATCTAGTTTCGAAAGGCCACCAAGGTACAATAATATTTGATATCCTTGGGGATCCAATACTCAGACGGCACAGACCTTCAGAAATGAAAGGTATAGTATCATATCGTCAGAGCTCCAAGTATGTGAATATTTAAATTTTGTTGTTTACTCCGTTGTGTTTGTCGGATGTTAGCATGTCGTCTTTGCAATTTGCCACATAATTGACCTACTGGTACCGGATGTGCCCCAGGACGTTACCATCAAAGTGAAACGAGAGCGTTACCTTGCTAAACAGGCTTTCACCGATTCAGAACACATCCTCAAGGTACATAACGCAAATATTTCCAGAACAGTCATTTTGTAGAGACGAATTTTTTTATTTGACTCATATCCCACTGAATCGTTAATTTAGTGCATGTGGACAAATGGCACGGGGTTTATAGAAAAAAAACGCATTACCACAGATAAACAGTGAAAGGCACTTGACTGGTAAGGCTCGAAGCTTTTAGTCCCTCTAATAGCTCGAATCTGAGCATAGACACATTGCAGGTTGTGGTGTGAGCCAGCCGTCTGAGGAGAAGCCTAAGGGCGTAGGTTCCGGACGTAAAACACGAAAAATACTACAATTATATGCACTGACTCTATTGAACTGGAAACCACTTGTTGAGATAAAAATTTGAATAGGGATCCTGCGATTGTGATCCTGCTGTTGACGTACCCACATCATAGCACATTGCTGCAGAAATATGGTAGTCCTGACCTTTTTATGAGCGATGCAAAATGATAGACAGCACGTCTGTGTGCAAACTTTTCTTTATTGATATATCTCCCCATTGCTATAGGGGTAGGAAGAAAGTGCTGTTTTCGGCTACTTACCGAAAACATGCACTGCGATCGTTTTGTTTATTCTTCAGTCGGCTTCCTTCCTCGGGTATTTTGTTTACCGATCATCGTTTGACGTGTGTGTGGTACCCTGCAGTAAAGAGGGACAAAACATCGATTAAAAAAGTGATCTAGCATTTCCTCGCTCGTAAATCGCTCAACAAATCTGGGAAAACGTTCTTGTTATTGACATCTTTGCAGTTTTTGATCAGGCTGATTGAATGAATGACGTTACGAACACTGTGAAGAAACTTGAAGAAATCGGGCATCGATTTATCATTACTGATGATACTTTGTTACTTAATTTAAATAGAACGTGTATTATTAAATATATTTTGGAAACATGCACTGTGGAAGCCTAAACAGGCCTTCAGTTGGGCCTTGTGCCGGCTCTTAGTTAGAAATAGCATGATGCAATAGTCACGCAGTAAGACACAGTCTTCTATAGAAAATACACAATTCTCTGTCAACGACGTCATGTAAAGGTTTTTTATAAGCCATTATAGATACAGCGTTAAAGGCTCGATTTTTTTTTTTTTTTGGTACTTTCTTCTGTTCATCTCTCATCGGTTACCTTCAACATTCCTGTCATTTTTCCCCCTTACCACCTATCAAATCCTGTGTGCGCTAACTATGTGTACCAATGTGTATAAGCCAAAATCCTCAGAACTTGCGCATAATATAGCGTAAGTTATTCAACTTTGTTTTTTTCATATCCGTCGTTTTTCATCTGTGCCGCAAAATAAACGAAATTACATCTTTATTTAGGTAATTGACGCTTCTAAACTGATACCCTAACGAATCCTATTTCTAACAGCTGACAATGTAAAACATATTTGGAAAAACTTTTTTTGAAAAAGCTGCATAGATATAAAGGTGACCATAATAACAATAATAATAACAACATGCTGCACCAGAATAATAAACGAATCCGTGCCTTCAAAATCTGACTTACAATTTCTACAGGATTAAATAGAGGCAGCGAAAACGGCAGAAAATATTTCTTAGCTACTTTGAGGTAAGTGTCAGGTCTAGCCTTTCACCTACTCCGTCATACAGCGCTCGATCGAGTTGAATATTTATTATTATGTTCCCGTCACTTGAAACTATCTATCTATAACAAAGCGGAAACTAAAATACAAAAAATTTCAATATGGCCATTTTTAATTTGCCCCTTAACGATGAAGTGAAAAAATCAGCTCTATACCGTCCTTTAGCCACCTCCTTTAACTCGCCGAGGTGGTGGCGCTTCGATCGAATCTACTTGCATGCAGTCGGTCTTTGAAATCGCAATGAAGATAACTAGCAAAGACGGGTGCGCGAGTTGCCTCTGCCATTGTTTTGTCAGGCACAGACCGTCATCGTGAGTGATCTATCAGAAAACTACAATAATACTTACAGAGTCTATCGGTGATTACTAGCAGTGCGATTTCGCGTTTGAGTTGATATAAGTTATGCGAGGGACCAATCGCTTAGCGTTTTTCGAAGTTATTCAGTGATGTAAAACGACTCGAGTCTACTAGGCCGGAAAGCAGCCACGCTACTGGCGAACAAGTTTTCGTTAGCGTTGTAAATATTTTGAACGCTAGCGGGAGTTTGCGATCTCGTGACCGATCTAGTTCGCATATGCCGCGTCTATTTACATGTAATTACACTATCAATTTCAGATCGTTAGAAATGAAGATGCATTTGATGAGGAGGAAGGAGCGACGTCTCGAGGTGCTGCCTACACCAACGAAACTAGTTTTGATTTCCGGATGAATCTGCCTGAGTCAGGTGAATTAGCCAATTCGGGTTAGAGTGATGATTAATCCATGATAATATTTGTAGCAGATACTTTCTCTGTGAAGCCGAACATAGTAACGGACGCGATTCCAACGTTTAAAAGCGTAACTCAAAAAATTCATCGATCGCCCGTAGCAGATGTGTACGTAGATCCAGTACGTAGAGGGGACGATCTTGCTGGTGATATGCCTCTTGCTCAAAAGGCAACTTACCTATGATAACAACCTATGTGAAACGTGGTAATATTTGATCGAGAAAAAAAAAATAAAGACATTTGCCTGATATATGAATTATTTAAACCGAAAAGCGTACGATCGAAGAGAAAGGAATATTGTACATCGATAACAGACAGGTCACTGACACGACAGTCTTTTCCCTATTACTACTCTCTACATTAACCGCTTTTAGGCTTGTAGGGGACAATTGATACTGGCACGTTCTGGAAAGTTTATGGCGCTGTACTTCGGGATCATAGCATAATTTTCGGGGTTATCGAGCATAGACGGAAATCATCGCGCCACACAACCAGTGAATATTATTAATAAATGATTCCATCGGGAATTGCTTCAACCATATCAACAGGGATTTGATTTCACATATATATGTTGACATTTTCTGGAGAAGCGTCTCGCCTTATAGAAAGCTGTACGGTTATGCGCCAATGACCATCTGCGTGGGCGCTATCTTCAATGGGGTATCTACATCGTGATAATTATAATAATCGTGTATATAAATAAGGGTCGAAAGTCTATTATTATACACCGTATATTGTATGAAACATTACATACATACGTGGAAAATTTATCGGAAAAAACTATCTTCCTCTATGTTATAACAGAAAACGACGACAGCAAGCTCGCGCCTCAGTTATGAACAATTTCAATCGGAATAACTAGCGATAAAAGCGTGATATGAAATGTTTTGCGGCACGTTGCGATCTCTTCAACAAATTTACGTTGTTATTACTATTGTCAATGGTAGTTGTTATTGTTGACGTTTATTGTATATATGGCTGTATTAGGTTGAACGCGTTGAATGTTCTAGATGGGGCATCCAGCAATCCTACAACCGATAGAGTAGGAACTTTGCTCATTTGAAAAGTCAAGCACAGATCTACATTATATGGCTATAATGTATTCGTGCTACCTGTGCACATAGAGAAGTTAAGCGTTACCAAATGTGGCCGCCTATCAAAGGCAACGTATCTGCTGTCTAGTTACCGGTCGATTCATTAATGGAAAGGTCTACAAACAACGAATCATCGGCCATCCACATTGCTCTGTCAGTTAGGTTTATTAATAAATATATGTAAATAGGTCAGTTTATTAATAAATAGTTCCACCATTTGAAAAGTACAATTATTGACTTTACGTGACCAATGTATGCTTTTATAGAGCTGCATTCAGTTATTTGTAGCATGGACTGTCCTACATGTGATGCGAAATAATTTCTCTTAACTAAATTTCGCTTATGGACAACGTTTGGGCCGCTAGGCGGTTAAAGCCATCTTATTAATTAGTCTCGCTCCATCTCGATGGGAAACGTGGTGTATGGGTCCAAGACGTTTCGTGTTAAGTTCTTCAACCGCTTGTCATGGGCGTTGAATCCGAACTTCTGAGAACTGAATAATACTCAAAAGTGTATGCGAGTCCAGTTGCAGATAGTAAAACAGACGTACGATGCCTAGACAACAAAAAAACACTAGAAAACTGGTTGTATGATGCGGTCAATATTTGACGCCAGCTATACTAATATTAATGTTAAGCCTGGCCTCATTTCAACTTGTCTTATAACATGTAGTCTTGTCAGCGCGCATCTTTAAGAAAATCAGAATGGTGAAATATGCAGCTTATTAAACAGCAGATATTTTTAGAACGGGTCGTTACGAGTGGGCCGTTTGTTGACTGGCTGCGATGATGGGGTGTAGAGGATTACGAGTCTCCACACTGACAAAATAGTTATCTAGCTGAAACGTACAACTGTTCTGCTTATATAGCGCTGTACGACCACAGCTCTGAACCGTAGAGAGACTGCGCTGCATCATATCTACGACTTGGTCGTATCAATTCAACGTTTGTTGTTATTCATTTAGTGGCTAGTTTCGAGGAGATGCTGTAGACGGCTCTGGCATCTGATAGTAGCGTTACTGCTCTACTTCGAATAAGACGAATTGGGATTGGTTTCATTTTGTATCATGTGAAAGGACGAAACCTATACGGCAGCACAATGTCTTTCCTCTATTCCTAAACCTTTTCGTCTATAGAACGATAACTATGGAAGTGAAAGCTGAAGCCAGATGTTTGCTGGCCTAATAACTAGGCACAGTGGCGATGATAATCTAAGTCTGATACAGCTATTCATTTCAGTGTGGACGTACGAGATCTACTCAGTAAAGACGCTACTCAGCAATGATTGATCATGGAAACTATAGATCGATAACTTTTAGTTACTCACGTTATTCTAGAAAATCGACTGAGGACGCAGTATGTTATGTGATGAGGAAGTAAGCATTAAAGTAACCTTCAAATACACGCGTGATAATTGGAAATGTACAATGGATGCAAGTTCCAAGAAGTATACAGTAGAATAGATAAATAGATTAATCCGTTCGTAAACTTTTTTTTTTTCAATTAATCATCACCATTTTCTGAATCGCTCATCTTTTTTTGACCTACATTGAACTAATAGTAGTTTTTCGGACGTCACCCGGATCGTCGTTACACAGTACTGCAATGTTTACCATATATATTCAATGGGAGGTACAACAGAATTTGTAGGATTGCCTATCTCGCCTAAAAATCATTCCAACTACTGCTATATACATAGTAATACGAATCAGTGATTTTACTGCATCGGCTATTATCATTGCGATTTTAAAAATTCATTAGATAACATTATATATGTCTATAAGCTTCTTCATTCTTATGAAAGGCTAGTTAGTGCTTGTGTGTGGCATGATATAATTAGTCCAGTGTTTAGGTTGCTTTTGCTAACTGTCGACAATGGCGCCCATGTTTAAACGTAGACTCAAATAGGGTCTTCGATATATTGTAAGGGTCAGTAGAATAAAAAATTAAGTCTCGGTATATTCGTTGGTACGTTCTGATTTCGGTGGCTGAAATCATTCATTTATGTTTTGCTTAATTCCCTTCTTCCTCTGGAATTTAACATTATTCTAACATAGTATTAACTGTAATTCAGCTACAGTGCTTCTATATTAAGAAGGTCGGTATAGTACGATCATTTTCTCAGAGTCGTCTCTTTGAGGACCTATAAACAGTCGGAAGGATGATGCAACTCTATTGTACCCACATTGCAATATAATTCTACCTTATAGCTTCATGTGTTTTCTTCTTTATGGGAGATGCACTTTTGCTACCTGAAAAAAAGTGGACGATGATGATCGTTTGCTTCTCGCAAAGAAGTAAGCTACTGTTTCTTTAACACAGACCAGGTTACGTCACCGCCAAATGCTCCGCACAACTTCCCGCCCATTTAAACTTCATCGCTGTATGTTCTTGCTAGCAATGAACTGTGAGAAGTAAACCGAAAGCAGTCATGGTAATAAAAAAAACATCATATAAAATATATAGGAAAAGGGAGAACATCGTGATTTGGCTATCTGTCTACACAAGCGTGTGACAACAAAAATATTACGATACCATAGGAAATAGAGATATAAACGATAAGCTATTCATATCAAAAAAAAAAAAAAAAAAAACTGTCGCGGTAATCATGGTTTGTTAACGATTTGAATGTTAAGCAAGTAAAGCTACGAATCCCTAGCAAAATATGCGCTTGGCTGAAATGAGGAAAATGCATAAAAAATCATGACATTTGTCTTTCTCAATGGATTTATATGTATAATAGCTAATATTCACCAATACGATGAAACTAGCGCACATTAGGAAGGTAACGATGATGAATAAAGAAGTAAACATAAATTGCAAAGGAACATATATGAGGAAAGTTTCTATATAATTAGGTACGGACTTAGCCTTGCGATTTTGGCCTACTTTGCCGTCTATTGAATTCTTTAACAGTCTAAGATAAATGAATAGTGATTCCGTTAAATTCATATTGAGCCAAGAGTTGTTTCATCGGTAGTATTGCTCAGCTGACTCTGTTACTTATAGTGTGCTGCCTTTTAGTAGATTTCCATAATGTGGTCATGGGCTTTTTTGCTGCTAACTGCTGAACGGAATCGGTTAACCTCTGAGAGGCTTTGATTACTAGAATCTGCTGACTTATTGATTCTGTTCTCAGGATGTCATCTGTATTTCTTTATAAGATATATATACATATATATTTGCCCGTATTATATCAAATGGGGACTACTAGTATCGTAAAACTTTTTTTTTTTTTTTTTTTAATATTAACTGCTTCCGATTAAGTGAAGGTATTTTATAAATTGTATGGTGCTTTTACGTATTTTAGTTGATGCAGCGATCCTATCGCCGAGCCATCATTGTCAAGGATTGAGAATTAGAAAAAAATTTCTTTGTTATTAAATAGTTGCATCTGTTATACTGAGTCAAGGCTTGAATATTTCTGTACGGAACGTTGTCGAAAGCTCTATATTTTTTTCTTTTTCAGATTCTTTTTATAATAAATGTTGACATCTTCTAGACTTATCCTGAGAATAAGTTGCGGAATTTTTTCGCAAAAATCAAACCCAAAGACTTAATCAAGTCTTCGGGATCACCACTTTGCTGTGGCAGCAAGGATTTACTTCCACTAGAAGATCTAGCAGAGATAAGTTTTATATGGGGTTTCTCTAATAGATTAATGAAACGGCGTGATGGCTATACCCCATAGTAAAGATTCGTCATTGTTGAGGTAATCAAAGCACTCGAAAAAACGCGGTTTAGCCCCTCCGACTGCGCCGCCTCCGTCGATGCGAAAAGTTCGAGCTGACAAAGTGGCACCTTATATGAAAAAATGATTTGGAAACATATTTCTCTATTGTGTTAGCAATTGTTTGTTATAAGCTGTCCATGTATTAAAGATTTACTCAGAAAGCTATTCAAAATTTGTTCGGAACAGGCTTGGCTTGCCAGGGTTTTTTGATTACTAGAACAAGTCCCTTTTTATGTACGACACTATATTAAATTGTCAACATTTAAACAACATTTTAGGTAAAAACTAAATTTACTGGAATCCAGCTTGTCGAGGGCCTTCAAATCATAACACCAACGACCTCATGACATAGATTTCTACGGAAACATTCGGCCACCATTTTGTCAGCAGAAAACTTTTTACCCAAAAAGAAATCGTGCTCACACTTCAATTTCCTCATGGACATATTTGCGAGATCTCATCAACGATTTAGCCAGTTAAGCAAATTAGCATTGTGTCACCATATAGGAAGAAAAATGCCCCCGGAAAAAGAGTATTCTCACACTGGAAAAAATTCTTATCCTTTTTCCTAGACTTTATCAGCTCGGCAAAAATCACTATGTTACCGCCGAATAGAAATACATAAAAATCTAAAATTTTATTTGAAAGCATATATTGTATTCATTTAGTAGACCTTGAATAATAATCCATTTTCCGATATAAGCTTTTAATCGACTTGTGTAAGTCGTGTCCTCAGAGGAGTTGTTTTGTGTGCGAAAAAATCGCGGATCCCAAGTTACAGGCTATGCTAATTATTCAGTGTTGTATAAGAGAACAGGAGAAGGATCTCCTTCGACTCATGAAGAACATAGCAAACAAATAAATAGCGTTTACATCATATTGGTGAACTTTGAGCTAGCTACTATAGTGTTTCTGTAAACGCTTAATAAAGGTAAGCTATTGTTGCCTAGAATAGCAAATGTTTTTTGCATTTAAAAGACAATCCAGTAGATTCGCTTCGTTGGCCCGTTTCAATTAATAAACAGGTTCTAGTCTCTTCGTTTTGTGCATAGGTGAAATGACAAGTTTTGGAAGTATTTGGACAGACCGCACGTGCACCGTCACCAGCATAAAGTAATGGCAGTGTTAAGTGAGACGAGTGCAAAATCTATGAAATGAAGCCAGTTACTTAATAAATCGGCGGCTGATACCATCAGCTATAGCGGGTTTGTACCGCAGGCGACACGACCGTAGGAAATGTGTGCCACATAACATTCACTGAAGCATTATATGCTTTGAATTTGCTATTATTATCTTTTTACCTTGGTTCTGACTTCGCCCTATGCTAAGCGACCTATGCGAAAACATTTCAAAAAAGTTCCCATTGTCTCGGCTCTGCCCATCCGATGCGTAGATGTAAACAATTACGAATATGTAACTGATGGCAATGGGCTGGCCGTAAGACGATCCCGTCTCCAAGCGATGACATATGTGTCATTAACATTAAAATATCGGCCAGTTCAGTCCCGTGATAGAATTCGCATTGTGCAAAGTACAGCTCAGAATGGACGCGACTAGTTCCCAGATCAGTGCCGTTGCTGGTAGCTTGCCGGTTTAAGACTGCAGCCACTGCGGGCCGTCTTGAGGCACAGACACCTAACAAATCGGTATTAATCTGTGTCGTTGTGACGAGGAAGCTATGGTGCGTCAAGGTAGGGGCATCAAACGACGAGTTGACCTTTCTTTGTCAGAGATATGGAGGGTCTCGATTAGATAGCAAAATCAGTCTACACTATAGGCGATAATAGTGTGCTAACGAAATATCTTGACTGTACTGTCTTACGATCACTATGCAGCGTTCCCCAATAACAGTCAAAAAAAAAACGCGTCAAAGCTTTTGGCCAACGATGCTACGGTTATATATATGGAAGTGCTTTTTTCAGTATTGCAGTGTATCGTTCCGTACATCGGTATTAATTAGTTTTTGGCCAGCTTTTTTTCTACCTCAGCCTTCTTTACCTCCGCTCTGTCCTAATTTGACCTTTATTATTCATAAGGGAAACAATTTAAAATGAAGGAGATTCAATGCACTATCAAGCATGACAGCAAATCGACGGTGCAGCTTGAAATACGTATCGAAATGCGAATTTTCTAAAGGGTAATTTAATTGACTGAATGGTTATAGCACCGATACGCGACAGAGCCGTCACACATCCTTCACCATCCTGGTAGCACCTGGATGTTTTGTTCTACTCTGTTTTCATGCAAGCAAAGCGCCATATTGTTTTAACTATGCGTTGTTTTTTTCTTCAAAAGTTTTGGTTTGCCAATAGTGTTTTTCTACTGACGAGATAAAAAAAAATATTACCTGCAAGCTGGAAAAAGGTTTGCCGATTAATCGACATTATGTGTTGCTTGACATCATTATAGGAAACCATAACCAACAAGCTGTTAACGTCAATTCAATACTATGCATGTGAATCTATGAATTCCAACCAGAACCAACTTACATTATTAGGCTGCTGCAATAAGATCCAATAACCATACAACTTAACGTTTAATTCCACCTGATCTACCGAAGGTGAAAGTTTACCGCTGGCTTACCATTTTAACTGCACTACTGCAATGTAATATGGCAAATGGACAAGATAAAATATTACGATTCAAATAACCCGCTATTATCCGTGATGTGGATTACGTCGAGCCCGCGTTGCGTCGACAGCCATCTTGCAGTGGTTCGAGTTGTGTCACGCATTTGACTACGAAATCGTAATAGGAGCGTAATTCAGGTCTCTGGTGCAACGAATTGATCATTTCAGTGATTTTATGGAAAAATTCGGATTGCGTATCGCTCAGTCATTTGACCCTATAAAATAAAAAATTGAAACTTCAACCTGTGAGGGTGATAGCGCTAAGTTACTTACCAGAAAAAAATTTGGCTCGCCACTAACTAAAAATAAAGCTTCTTCGAGCGTAGGCCTACTAAAAAAAGGAAACATGCTCCTTTAATACTACGGATAGATGGCGAGTTTTGTTGAGATCCCCTAATAAATACTAATAAATTTTCTTTATGGCTTTGTAGCTAGGAAGTAGGATCTTCTGAATCGCCGAAGAGACCTGTTTTCGACCAAACTGGTAGTGGGCGGGTACAATATGCACTAGTTCACATTACCATACTAGAAATATATCAATTTCTTTTTGAACCCTTAGCCTTGTTTTTTCGATAGAGATTGCTCGTTATGTAAACGGTTCGCTAAATAATTAATTATTCTTAATTCGCCTAATAAATTATTCTTAATAGATTTCTCTTCACAACTTCACTTGTAACCTTGCAATGAAGAACCTGGCACTTCCAATAAATGCCGCATAAAAGTAGACATAAATCTCTGTTTGATGATAACACTCTGCTGCTATATATTGAAAGTAGACTAGACGTTTCTATTAGGAGTAGATGAGCTCATTATTCAAAGTTAACTTCTATAACAAGAATGAACAAATTGATGTTATCACGCTGTATTTTTTCAATTTGTTAGACTTTCAAGTGGTGTAAATCTCTCACGATAGAACCTCGGATAGACCCAATTTCAAAAGTACGCGCGATTATAAAATGACTGACGTTTGTATACCTCGTCTGTGACACGTTCGACAACTTGAAGTTATTTACGTAAGCCGGATTCTTGTGATACCATTTGCTGTCACGAAATTTGTTTGATATCACATGTAGCTCAACGACCACCTTCGACCTTTAGATCCGTTTGCCGACGGTATCTTATCACAGGTGTATATATGCACTGTATAATTATATAAGACCAAGTTTTTTTAAGCATTAAGCAACCTTTGCCTTGCCCTGCCCTGGGATAAGGATTCACTCGCAGATTTGTAGAAGGTACGAATGAAAAAACAAGTATATTGCTTAGTCTCTTTTAGACGTACCTAAAATACACTCAATTCTACAAAATGCTCGAATTATGATTTTTGGGCTACCCTTTCTTTTTTCCCTAAACTCGGCCCTCTTCTGTTAGAATCGAAGCCTGCTTCTTAAGTGCAAGCGGATGCGCTTAAAGATAGAGGCCAACTACTGTCTACGGCCCGCTAAGCGTTAGAATTTCAAGACTGATTCAAATAATAATTATAATGAATGGCTTCTTCAGCGATTAGCTAAGCATTGTGCAGTTGTCTCTGAGCCATTTTGATATAATTTATATCACCAGTTTAGACGCGTACCAAGAAAAAAGCTCAGTAAGAATAAGCATTATGCTTAATTCTTACAAAATAGGCATTTAGCATCAATTCAAATAGTGGCTTCGATATAAAATTGAAATACGCTCGTAATCAAAATCTCTGCATTACCAAAGAACATATATCCTTTGTAAAAACAAAGTAACATACACGCTAAAGGGGAAGTTGTTTGTTGCGCTTCGCGAACGCGGGAAACGCTTCGCAAGTGTTTTTGATTCCAGCTCAAAGTGCGGTTCAAGCCTGGGTATCTCAGGAATAAATGGTAGGCCTTTTCCGTGTTAGTTGGAGGCAATAGGGATTATTAATTTGACTCCACCAAGCGAGCGTTCATTTATCCATCTCCTCTCCAAACTGATTCGAACCCGAGGGTGTCATTTTTTCAGATGGTACGTGTGTGGCCTGAAAACTTTTCAACCTTGTTGACCAATCAGCGCTTGAAGATTCCCTTTTGAAATTCGGTTAGAATTTACTTCTACTGTCTTTCTTTATGTGAACGACGATCACCACGTGCACTAAAAAAAAAAAAAAAATTATTACTTAAAAACTATTTTTTGTGTTTTTTTAAAACGCCAACAACTTCTTTTTTTTATATATCAAAACGCTGACGTCATTGAGGAGCGCCAAGGCCAGTCATGTTATTGTTATGATCAGCACTATTAGACGCATTAAAAGCATTTTCGATAAAAGCTTATATGAGCATTAGCTCTCATCGTCTTGTTTCGATGGTAAAAGCATCCATATTCTTCTGTTATATATACATACATAATTGCTCTATATACATGAAAAATCACCTTGGCATTCACCTTCATAGTGACAAGCTAATCAGATTTAAAGACGCTCTACGAATGTTAAAACAAGAAAGATGGATAGAATGTATTGATATTAAAATAGGAATATCTAACAATGCATTTTCTTTGCGGAAAATCTTTCCCGGATGAGACAAGAATGAGGCACTTTAGCTGATGCTTATCCAACTCAACAAGGCAGAACTTGAAGTAACGCCACATGAGGAAAAACCGTTTGTAAAAAATCGTTAACGCTTAAATCTTCGAGTTAAAAATACCCAGAAGTCTAGGGACCTGCGTAAGGGAAGTTAGCAGATCTCCTGATTTCATTCTGGTAGTACTTTCTAGATTTAGTTACATTGTATAGGATTTTTATCGTTAATTTAATTGTAGTTTTTCCATTTACTCAATTACCCAGTACACAGGTTCTAATAAACATCAGTAAGATCCGTTGTAAGATGTTATAGAATCGAATCACTTTTATTTGAACCGGACATGGTGTATAAGGTCATAGGTTTTAAGCCTACATTGTATCTGCACCGAAAGAGGGCAAAAGCAGACAGAAATAGAGACGAGGTCAGTGGATTTACAGTTGAAGAATATCATCAAGGTAAATTAGGAAACGAAACGTATATTACATAGCCTAATATGATGAGCTCAGACCTCGAAGACAAATCTGCGGGTTTCAGAACACAACGACGCGTCATCACAAATCTTGTGTCAGGTCTAAAGAAATTAGTTTAATCGATATACTATCAAAGAAAAAAGGTCGTCATCACTATCTCAACTTATGCAGTTTGTGCGTGGGGGTAACTTTCTTTATTGCTAACTTTGATAGGTACTCCAAGTATCGCATTTCGCACATCAAAAAAATCACATGACCACAGCGTCACAACAAATCTGTAAATGACAACCTTCAATTGGTTTGTCAAACCCCAACGTTTCAACCCTTCTTTAGATTTCAAATTTCGCAAATCCGTTACGCCATTTCAAAATCAGAAACGTTGGCAACCTACTTTGGTCATCGAGATAAACCAAGACTGACATCCGAAATTGAGGCTGGTATATTAGAGGACCTTGTCAATTCTAAAGATCTATTTTATTTCCTGCATTAAAGGCATTTGAACTTCGCGCTTTAAATTTAAGACAGTACACATTAGCAATGTACTCAGTGATTTACGAGTGCTAATCCGCCATATACTTCAATGTATGAATGCATGCTAGTTCCTGAATAGGTACTGAGAGAAGAAAAGAACCTAGTGAAAACAATCAAGCTTCGCCCACTTCATGACGCTAGTTGGCGAGACGCTCGATATTTCTCAGATTCGTTCCGCCTCGAGCTTAGTCTAATTTTATCGGCTACACCTCGTCTCCCAGATTGTATGACGTATTGGTCGACATGATTAGGGCTACATAGCCTTTTCTAAAGCCTCAAATATTATATTTTGATTATAGAACTCGGACTGTGCTCTATTTATAGTAATGTGGGACATACTAATTTTTTTAGTGTCCCATACTTTGGGCCATTTTTTTTGACCGCAAAGTGGCTGAGGACGCATAACCCTAGTTACGATGGCTGACAGCCTTCGATAGTAAAATTTAAATGAGCCAAAGAGCACCCTTTATAAGATCGTAACTTGCTAAGGATCAGACCTGTTACTCTGAGAAAATTCGAACCACAACCAAGGTGACCCACCGTCGCCACCCTCACCAACAACCTGAGTTAACTAATTTTTTAATCTCCACCTTCTACTGCCGTCGTATGTTACCAAGCTCTATACTCTTCTATTCCTGGCGCATTGCCTTACTTTTATGCACAATTTTGCCTAGCCTTGGCAGTGTTTTACACGTGTGAGACAAGCTGATTTTCAGTTGGCTAGTAAGAATTTCTCGCAGCCTCGGTGTCCGTTTTTTCGTATCACTGTCATGATTTCTAACGGTGTGGCAGCACTTCGCGACTACCTACGGCTTCCTGCGCAGCCGTCGTTAATGCCGTAACCTCCTTTTCTCAATCCCTGTAAAACTATCGTTAGCCACGTACGCATGAAGCAGTACCAGCAGCATCTTGCCGTTGCGCGCTGCTGCTGCTGCTGCTGATGGTGGCAGACCCTTGCCATCGAACTTTCAGCTTCTCCAATAACGTCGTCAGTGAACGTTTACGTTGCATTGCTTGCATTACATTCATTACTTCACGTTACTTCGCTTCGTCTTGCTTTGCCACTGGCGTCAAAGCCGCCGGTTGTGCGACCACTGCCAGCTCCGGGAGTGTAGCCACGGCCGTAGCAGTAACAGCAGCAGAATCGCTGGCGCGTTTTTCCGAAGCGGGTCGTCCGCTTGCCGTTAACCACGTTGTCGTCGTCTTAGCCGTCGGATTTTAGTGGAACAAGCGCCGTCGTCGACCGGCAGGAAAGCAACACGCCTCAGACACCACCAGCTGAGGTATCGAAGCACCGAAGTTGTAGAATAGCAGCTGTAGCAAACAGCTGAAACAGAAGTCGCCGGATAGCTGCAGCAAAAGCGATAGCAGGAGCAGAACTCCGGATTGGTAGGACAACGCACAGCAACGTCAGATTGGCAGACTCTCGATTCCGATGGGCAGTAGGAGCAGCAGTGGCACAAGAAGAAGGTATTGAGGCTCTCGCTGGACCGTTGTCTAGCTGCGGTGGGTAGCGAAGTTTTTAGCATTAACGAATAGAGCAAACGAACGTGGCTATACCAGCCAGCGCCAAGTTCGAGGAAGTTGCAGTAAGACCGCGGCTGAAGATAGCGAAAGATCCGGGCAAGTTGAGTTTGCCTGCAATCATCGCTCGATCAACTGTTAGAAAAGTGCGCAAACAAGGGTTGAGGTGACAGCCGTGAGGGGATAGCCGGTGTGTGCCTATCGAACCAACGAAGAAAGACAGATTACTTCGTCTCCCTTTGCCCAACTCATTAAATTCGTTTTCAACGCTTCAAGCCAACAGTTAGTCATGCACAGCCCGGTTGCGGCTTAAGGTTGACGACTGAATGCCAAAAGATTTTGATTGTTGGATACAACTCAGATATAAAAGTGAGCAGCGATCTAGAGAGAGGTGGTAAGCCAGAGAGAAATCTTTGCCTCTGATTCGAAGTGGCGTTGGCAAATACAAATCTGGGCTGGTACCGACTGACCAACCACGGTGGGATATTGCTGCATCCAGCCCACAATCGCTAGATCTATTGTTGGGAATTCTTCACAAGAAGCTGGGCGTTTGGGTCGGACTGTTTGCCGGCGTCGCGGTGTCGCAAAAATCTACACAAGTTGTCTGCATACGTCACCCACCTGTTATATTTGCAGCCTTGTGCTTAGGCTCTACCCAATTGTTATTTTGTGACTCGTCTGTGTAGTGGAGTGTCTCGCTCTATGAGTGCCCAAGCGGAGTACTCGACGTAAGGACAACCTAGTAATCGTTCCTAAAATTGACTGGTGATACATCGAAACTCATTTGTGCTGGCCGAAGGACAGAAGAGTTATCCAGAATGACTTCGAACAACCCTAAAATCAGACATCGTAAGTAGAACAAAAAAAAAAAACAGTTCCTTTTCAAACTATAATTTTGCTATTGTCTTCACTTTATAATGTGATTCATTATTTGAAAAAATGTGCAACATACGCATTAGTTGCCGATAACCAGATTCGGCATTTAACTATATGAATATCCCCCGCCATCTTTAAGTTGTATCGAAATTATTTCAAATAATTTAAGCGGCATTTGCTTATATTTCTATCCACAATGCCCGGAATCCGGTACTTGTTGCAGTTGAATATACAAGTATAGGCAATTTAGATGAGACAAGGGTTATTCGTGGAAGTTATCGACAAAACGATAAAACGACAAAACCAGGCGTGTTGTGAGGTTTCTCTTTTTTTTTTTTGTAGAAACACTTGTGTTTAACTTCCACGTTGTTCGTTTTTACATGTCCTGGTTTATCGCGTTTATTTCGAATAACGAAGATAGATACCCTATGTGAAAACGTAGAGAGATTAGTAAACATCTTAATTTAAGTCGCATGTTAAAATAGTATTTCAGATTTTTACACCTTCTATATGACAATGGGTCAGTTTCTCAATAATCAATCACATCATTGCTGAAACCGCGATTTTTATAACTTAGATAATGTTGATACGTAATGTATATTGGCTGAAACTTTACCACATGGTGTGACAAAATTAATCCGTTAATTTTTGGTATACAGACACGAGGTATTGTTATGAAGCCTATTAAAAAAATCCTACATTGGGCTACAGTACTATATAATCAGACAGATCCGTCTTGAGGTAAGGAAAATTGATTTATTATTTGTTTATAACAGGATTTATTGTTGTACGTTTTCCGCTAAGAAGTGTGACATCCATCGTACTAAGTTAGCACAGTTAACATACACTGTTTATCGTTGTTCATTATCGATTGGGCACCCAGGCTCAATGCAGAGCCGAGTCTTTAAGCGTCTATCCCCACTCGCCCTTATGCAGTATAGTTTCGCTACCACCAAAAATAACCCATTGCAAAAAGACTGACTTCAGTGTGGGGCTAGCGCACCCATATTAGGAATGTCAATGTTAAAGATAAATTAAAGTAGTATCATTCTTCAAATTACATTTGACTTACGTCGTTCTATCCTAGGAGCCTTGCTAATGCTCTGTCTGATACCCTACGGTTTTAGTACGCAGCTTATTTTACCAATAATAACTTGTTTATTTTATTATTATATTCCATTTTAACTGTGTTAGTAACTATAAAGTAATGGCGTCAACCGATTATAGTCGCGACTTGGCTAGAGACGAGCTGTAGGTACGAAAGCACCAGAGAGGTACGAAATGGCCAAATTTAACACGTGTCTCAATAGAGACCGTAGTAGGGTATCGAATTTATGGTGCGTGACTGTACTACCAGCTACAATATAACAGCAAATAAAGGTATTCTGTGGCATTCTCGGAACTAGCGCCAGTAGGCGCTTGCGGGCATCTAGTTTAACTGTGACAACCACAAAGATGTCTTTAATCTGCCGAAATGTTCACACCTGTTGAACGTTAGGTGAAGCGACATGAAGCGATTATTTACAATACGACTTTTTGTATGTGTATGTGTTAGCATAAAAACTTCAAGAACGATACAACATTTTCGCCCATTTTTCCTGCTATGAAACTGGGCGTAGATCAACATTGGATCCTCCTGAGCTGGAATCGGTTAGTTAAATGATAACGTAGTTATGATCAAAAGATGATCTTATATAACATTAACAACGACAAAGCGATAGTGAAAACCGATAATGAAAAGGAAATATATCATGGCTATCTGTGACAACATCTGCATCTCTTGAATGCTAAGATCAGCTAGATGGACATTAAATTGTGCAGTCGATAAAAGGTAACTAGTACAGGTGTCAGGTCACCCTATCATTGATAACTGCCAATTCACTTAAAAAATCTACGCTCACTGCCGCCAGTCAGCAAGATGCCATGAAAAACCATGACAAAAGAACAGTCTATGCACTGCCAATAGTAAATCAAAAATGGCAGGTATGACCACAAATCAACACAAAATGTAATAGACCAATTTTCGATTTGTGAAACAATAAAAAAATTAATTAATGGTGCCTTCGAACCAAAAGGAAATTTCGCAAGTACTACTGTTTTAACAACACAATAGAATCGATAGCTTTCAGGTGATCATTAGACTAGCTGCTAAGCGCTCCCGTTAGACAAAGTTGCGCTAGAAAAAAAATAGCTTTCTAACTTTGAACGTGGCGTTACATAACTATATCACTTATATATGTATTTTTTCCCCTTATAGTCTTATTTCTTAGCATTGTTTATCAGAAATTTTTTTAAGACTGAACGAGACGCGATTACAATCATGTCCTTCGTAATAGATCACGAATACACCTCGAATAGCAAGAGTGCCTTTAGGCAGCGATGTGACATAGCTAGCTATACCCGCTGTTTTTATACTGCTAGAAACAAATTAACAGAACACAGAGTGATGATATAAAAACAAATACTTTCTTTACCTACGAAAGAAAGCACAGAAACTTGTAACAGTTATCGTTGTGAAACTGAGCAGCTATAACGTACGCAATTGGCGCGCACAAACATTGGTTTGTTTATTGAGACTTCCGTCTGACATTGATCCGCCTTCTTCGACGGTACCGTCGCACAAGGTACTTCGCTTGATCGTCTCCCGATACGAAGCTAAATCGAATGAATGAAATCCATACACTATTATGGTGAGAGGCCGAGCGTACTTTATTACTGAGTCACGAACAAGGAGATCCAAACATTCAAAAAAATAAAGGTGCCTAGCTTTCAGTTACCTTAAAGTGCGCACCTTATACCTATTCAGACATTTTACAACAGATAAAAACATGTCGAACGGATTATTAAAGCAAACACACAAATTCAGGGAACGTACATTCATTCGTATTGCTGAACAGAAGAAACAATTTTACCTTGGTAATTTTCAGCTTATGCAGCATACCGTCAGCGCATTGTCGTCGCCATTATTTATTTACGATCATATAGTGTTTGTAGGTTTTCACTTTTATCTACACAGAAGGCGGACTATCGAGTTCGTAACATTGTAGGTAACGCTCGTAACGTGATTACTAAGCATGCAGACCTAGGTCACACGTTGTCATCTGTTGAAAAATGAAGTGATAAAAATTTCAATACGCCTCCGGCAACGAACGAAAATGCGCGTGGCACAAACGCTTGTACGCATTTATTTGTTTTTATTTTAGAAGCGTCATTAGGCGAGCGAACTACAGCTGTTAAAGCTCGGCAAAAAAAAAATACGTAAGGTTTTAAATGCAAGATCAACTGCCAAACTTTATAGGGAAATATTTACGTACATACAGTAGTCAGATAAACGGACAGATGATGGGTAAAGAGGTCTATCTAACCGGCCGAAACGATTAGAAATTGGTTGAGTTGCCCAAAAATACGGTAAACCACCCATCGGTCTGGCCCGCATCGTCCTAAGAATGGTGCGCTCTCGTCTATATAAGAGCTGCTGTCGAAACCCATAACCGTCTAACCTTTCCCTTTTTTTGCAAATTATTGGCAATAAATTCCCACACCAGAGCAGGCGTATTCAACAGCGGATCCAGTCAGGTATCAGGGCTGACTGTTTACATTGCCTCTGCCAAACCAAGCACAGCCTCTTTGTGAGATCGCTTCTCCTGTAGCCACGTCGATACTAAGTGAATGAACCAGTAAATCGTCAATGGGTAACTGCTGGCCGGAAGATTTCCAGCGGTTCGTCTTCAATCGCAGTTATGGGATTGACGAAACATAAAACACCGAAGGATGCCGATGAATCGACACAGAATGTGAGCGTCAGCCAAGCACCTAAACAAACGTATATTTTATCCTCATCAGTGTTCCCGCCTTCGTACGTAGATAAAGCGTCTTGCGGTTGTGAGGAAACGGCTGCAGTCAAGCGATTGTTAATACCTCCAAAAGATCATCTTTGTTGAATGGAAAGATCGCAGCGAGCTCATGATAGAACGCCACACGAGGTACGTGAGGTTCCCGAGAAGGTAGTGATCGGCAGAGCGTCAGCAACACTGCAGAGAGGAACGCCACGTTCCGTTTTGAAGCAAAACCTGCTTCCAGAGCAGCCGCTGCTCTTCTGGCTGGTGCTATCAATCGATGCCTAAGCGCTGTGTGTCAAAGCAGACACGGGTGCTCAGAGCATCAAAGATATCGAATTTACATTATAACTCGTACCCCTTCGCGTTAGCTGCCATTGCATGGTATTTCGTACGAGATCGTATAAAAAGGCATAAGTAAGTGCGATACGCGTTGAGAAAGATGTGCTTGCTTATAGGCACGATGTTCCGTCGATATGTACAGAATGCCCTATTTAAGTCAACACTGATTAATCACTTGGTTTGCGTATCGGAACGTCCAAGCTCGGGTATATATGGTAGATAAAGACTGAGAAAATATACATAAAAGTATATGCAGCTGGGTATCCCGGTATTATAATATCGATGGCAGGATGGATGATTTTCGTATCGTAAAGGTAATACCGGGTCTGGTGTTTGTCATCATGGAATTGCGTATTCAATAGAACATAATTACATGACGCGTCAAGTACGCGAAATTCCAGACTTAATTGACGTTCGTTTTTTTCCAATGAAAGCCTTCGAATAGCTAAGCCACACTCGCGGATTGCGTAAACAACTTATTCATTTAGGCCATATATTGTCCTTGAGGACATTATGTAAGAACAATGTGTAACGCATTCATATCATTACTCGTTGCTGCATTGCTGGTTCGTATATTTGCCTGTTACGGTTATTGAACCCTCCTCAATTCTGATTCAATATTATCTTCAACAACCTTTAGTTAACTTAAAAGTGTCGAACTAAGCTTCTATAATAGTACTAATACAATCTCAATGCATGAACCCCTTCGATTCACCTCGTCGCTCGTCCCCCGAACCCCTGGTCCTCTCAACCCCATGGCCTGTCTGAGTTCTTTTTCTGCTTCACGAACATCGC